ACGGTGTCCAATTTGGCTCGTCAGGAAGGCTTGCTCAAATCTGTGGTAAAAATAATTCATATCAGGATGGTCTCTGATTTTCTTCATTTCCAGATTCTGCAGAAGGTTAATCTTATGTCCAATTTACACTTTTACTAGTTTTAGTGTTATGGGGAAAATAGGAGGCAGGAGGATTTGGTACATTTCTATACAGTAGAACCTTTGGTCACAACGATAATTTGTTTCATAACTTTGGTCACAAACCCAATCCTAATTTTGGAAATGGTGTGAAGGGGAAAATCAGCCATGAAAATAAAAATCGTGAATTTTTTGGTCGGAACCCAATTTGGTCATGGTCAGAAGTGTTCATAACCAGAGGTCTACTGTATATTAAAAAGGTGTGATAAAATTATTACTATTATCATCATTTCAAATCTGAAAGTACAGATTTACAGATTCCTAATCAGAGCTAAGGAGTCTGCTCCCATAACACATGTTAAGACTAGTAGGACTGGAGTTGAATCTTTCTTACAGCAAAGACTACAGGGCAGTACTCTCCTGAAGATTTAGGATAAGTACAGGCTCCTTCTTACTGAGTAAATGCTGCCTGAGTCAACCATCCACAACCATGGTCAGTGATATGGCCTACCCAATCGCTGCTACAAATAAAAAAGTCACATGCTCTCTTGACCTAGCTGTCTGATTGCAATTGCATCATAACATTCTCTACAACAGTATTTCCTAATTTTGACAGTTTTAAGATGGTGGGCTTCAACTCCCAGAATTCCCCGGCTGTCTGGGGAATTCTGGGAGATGAAGTGCACATATCTTAAGGTTGCTGAGTTTGGGGAATACTATTCTACAACAGTGGTCTCCATATATTTTTTTATCACACTTCCCTATTAGTAGAAAAAATAAACATGTAAATATTTATTTAGAGATATTCATTGATCACAAAAGCAATTAGTAAATTAGTAAACTCATAAAATTCAAGTAAACCAATTTTTAGATACTATGTCAAATGAATTCATGTAAAGTTAGACTCCAAAATTAGGCATAATTAAGAAAAATGAATAATTAACAAACATCAAAATAAAATATTTTTGTGAGTAGGTGGCTCTATACTTTTTTCTAAATAAATAAATTAGAATACAGGAATAACATATCTAAAAATATTTTATTTATGCACAGATAAAATATTATTTCCATGTGCATCACTAGGTCTCACAGCAGATTTTATCTTAAAGGAAATGAATTTAAAAAGTAGGTAGACCTAGGAAATCTGTCTAGTGTTTACTTTGATAATATAGATGGATAATATAATATTTTGTTCTGTTCCTTTCACCATATTTTACCTATTCTCCACAGAGGTCAGAAATCCTTGGTTTGTTTCACAAGATGTCTTTGCTTCTGAAAATGTTCCAGGTGTCCCTCCAATTAAGTAACAATAGAAACCATACCTTTTCCAGCCCTGTTGACATAGCATACATACACATACAGAACAATATTAGCCTGAAATTATTGGTTTATATCTCACATTTTTATCCTGTCTCAATCCATAGAATCTCAGATTCACCGAGTTATTCAGATGAAAGAGCAATTTTTAATTATTTTTAATTATTTTAGGTTCATATTTTATGTGGAAGTGAGTGATAGTCTCACTATTCTATAGTATGTTTTGAACCTAAAATCTAAAAGGAACTGTGAAATAAATATTGATAGACATAAATTCACAGCATTCAACTTCTATGTCAATAGCTTCAGATTTATTTAATTTAATTAATTTAATTTAATTATTTTATAAGAACATTGCTGCAATTTGGATGTCCAATTCCTGTGGCTAGTACAAATCAGTTTCAGATTTATCCCAATCCAACATTTCTATTCTGGGAAAAAAAAATGTGTTCCTTATGTTTATCTATTAGCTCAGGTTTATCTGTTTATCTGTTTATCTATTAGCTTTTTTTGCCATATGGTAAAGACGGATAACTTGTGTTATTATAAAATTGCAAAGAAAATATTTCTATCTATGGTGTTCCTAAGAGTCGACATCAATGTTAGGAGTGGAGGAGAATGTTCATCTCAAGGCAAAATTAGTTTTCTGGATGGTATCTCCAAAACTTCATAAGATGAATAACTATTATAAAAGATCAAGAGCTACAGAGTTCCTTAGGCTTACTTTCTGGCATTTTGGATCAGCAACTTCATCTGTTCCAGGAAGAAATTCTGAAGGCTCTTTTTTACATATGTATCCTAATTCCTCTTCACAGAAATGATCTGCCCAATATCCATTCTGAGGATGAAAAGGTGAACAAACCGCAAAAAGAATCTATTATTTTTACCCTGTTCTATTTTGTTGTTTATATAATTTTATTGTTTCAACTTCTTCCCTCAAAACGACACTATAGGGCACTGCACACCAGAACAACTAGACACAAGGACAGTTTTTCCCCTCATACTATCACTCTGTTAAACAACTAATTCCCACAACACTGTCAAACTACTTACTAAGATTATATTACTATTATTCTTCTCATCATTCCTGTTATCTATTACCTTTTCTATTTATGACTATAGTTTTGTTGCTTGTATCTTTATGATTTATATTATTTTGCTTAGTTTCCTATGATTTATGTTAATTGTTTATTTATGACTATGACTATCGCTAAGCATCGTATCTTATGATTCATGATGGATGTATTTATGATGACTATGATCATGATTTATCACTTATATCTTTTATGTACAGAGAGCATATGCGCCAAAAACAAATTCCTTGTGAGTGCAGTCACACTTGGCCAATAAAGAATTCTATTCTATTCTATATTGCTTTTGTTCCCATGAACTGAACTACTGCATATTACTTGTTATAGCTGCATTTGTCTAAAATCTGCAGCCATACTAAGATCTTGCAAAGAGATGTAAGTAGTAAGTGTTCAAATGAAGTTGGGAATGGCAAACATAGCTTTTCACCCACAAAAATTAAATTATTTCAAAATATATTTAATAGATATTATGCCAAGTTTCTAAAATGTAAAATATAATTGTATTTTTTCAGAAATAAACAGCCAGTAGCAAAGTTAATCCAAATTTAGCATGCCTAAACTTTCATTTTTTTAGTCAATGCAAGTTAAAAGTTTATTCCCAGTCTTCTGAAAAATATAGTCAACTGAATTTAGAATTTGTTTGTTTACCTACTTATTATAATATATACTTTAAGGCAAAGTATTAATTATGTAGTAGCAATCCTATGCAATATGAATGGACAGTTAAAGAATCTCAGAGTCCTTGAGGCCTCTGAATGTTTGTTTATTGCTTTAGCAGCTCCCAGAGCCTTCTCTAATTACAAAACTGTAGAATAAGCCCAAAAGTAGGCTGTTATGTTTCATTTTTAAACCAAGATTTTTATTCCAAACAAGGTTCATTAGTATGACTATCCCTGTCTATTTTACATAATTAATCTATTTATTAGAATCCCACCAACCGTTATATTTATTACTATCCTCCAAAGCCATTATGTAATATCCTTAACTACAAAAGCCCATCCTTTCTTTTTAGACTTAAATACCCTTAAGTATTCATTCTTAACTCTGATAAATAATGCCTTTTAAAAAGAACATTAATAAACAAAAATGCAAAAATTACCATCAATGAAATCAGTTCAATACTAACAGAAAAGAACAAGCAAATATTAACACTAAAAAAAAATATCAACAGACCAATATATTTAAATAATACTCGGTAGCCAGAGGGGTGGCGAGGCACCCCGGCGAGGGAGGGAGGATCAGGCTGCCTGATCCTCCATCGCTCGCTCGCTCTTTCATCCGCTCGGGCTCCCTCGGCGCCGCCCTGGCTACCTCCGTCCATCCGCGCCTGCAGCTGCGGCGACATCATCAAGGCGAAGTGGAGCAAAGGGGCCTGAATCAGGCAGGGCACCGAGGCCCCTTCGCCTCACTTCGCGACGCAGACGGAGCGGCGGCGGGGCCCTCTCTCCCGGCCTGCCTCTTCCCTCTTGCTCTTCATCTTGATGATGTCGCCGGAGCTGCCGGGCGCGGACCGATGGAGGTAGCCAGAGCGGTGCCGGGGCAGCCCGGGCAGGCGAGTGAGCGAGCTATGGGGGAAAGAGAGGAAAAAGAAAAGAGGTTGCAACTGGCCACCTGTGGCCATTCTTTCCCACACTGTTTTTAAATATTTTTCCTGCCACAAAGGATCATGGTTTCTTCACATAATGGTGCCAATGGTGCTTCCTCTCACGTTGTTGATTCCTCATTTCCTAGCTATTAAAATTTGGAACCCGCTATGTAGCTTTTGGCAAGAGAAAAATTACTTGTCCTCCGATCACATAGAAAAGAGATGTGTTTGCACAGGATAAATACTCAGTTGACTTTAGTACTTAAACAGTCTGATGAACCAAAATTTGAAAAACAGGTGAAATTCTTTCTGGAGACCAGAAGCAAACACACACACAGTAAAAGTGTCTGGTTTTGAATATCATCCTGCCTAGTGCTTGGGGAAAAAATAAGACGAACATTTGGATATACATTTTGAATTAACTTGGGAAGAAAATTACTAAAATCACTTTTAGCTGTGTTCTATATTAAGGGTTCATGCAGTAGCATTTCTTGTTGAATTAGCAGAATAATATTTACAACAGCCAGCTGATAGTTTTATCTGTCTTATAATGTGGGTGGGTAGAGGACTTAGACATAAGTGCAATGTTTGCCTGTGATTATATAATAAATTCACAGCTTATACATTTGAATTAGATGTTTTTCAAATCATGTTTAACCTATACTTGATATAGTTGTATTCAATACATATATTCTGCGATCAAAAGATGCTTTCCATAACTTATATGTATAGAATATTCTTGATATTTATTGTAAGATCTATCACAACAGAAACAGCCTGAAAAATTAGAACTTCCCTATAGTAATGATTTTTCATTAAGTCCCAAAAGGAAGAAAAGGAAAAACCAAACACCATAGGTTAATGGAATCTACCATATTTAAACTAAAAATGGTTTCCTTATTTCAGATTTCAATTCAGTATTTCATCTTGCTTTCAGAGTCAGTGAACTATATTGTCATCACAACCACTTTTTGTTGTTATTATTATTGGCATCTTGACTCATTCTATGTGTTGTAAATCATGCAAAGTCTCTTTTCTCTGTNATAACTTTATTGTCACTTTGAATGTACACTAATTAGCATGCATTCAAATGAAATTTCATTGCATATAGCTCTCAATGGGTCATCACCTCCAATATACACTAAATAAATAAATAAATTCAAAATTATGCATATATCCACATATATTATATGACAAAAACAACACAGTCTAGTATGTGTACATCTAAATGGCAAGAAAAATGAATCTTGTGAGTTTACAGGATGGATGGCATAGGGAACAAAGCTGTTACAGAATCTGGAAGTCCTGCTAGAAATACTTCGAAACGTCCTCCCAGAGGGGAGCCACAGAAACAGACTATGAAGTGGGTGTCTGGAGTCTTTGACAATGCTTTGAGCTCTAAGCACATAGCATTTATAAGCAGTATCCTGAATAGCTAGCTTCCTATAAACTTCTCAGCTGTCCTTACCACTCTCGGTATGGGCTTTTTATCGGAGGCACTGCTGCCATAAAACTAAACAGTGATACAATTTATTAAAATGCTCTTAATTGTGCCTCTGCAAAAAAAAAATTGGCCAGGACAGAAGAAGAAAGATGTGCATCTTCATCCGATTCAGGAAACGCAGACACTGGTTTGCCCACTTCACTAAGGATGATGTGTGGAGAGACTAGTTCAGATTGTTAATTATCTGGACTCCCAGGTACTCTATACTGTTAACCACTTCTACAGCCACATCCATGAAACTGTGGAGTATTACCATGCCAGCTCTTTCTAAAATCTACAATGATCTCCTTTGTTTTATTAACATTTAGAACCAGGTTACTTTTATCGCACCAGTCCATCAGAGCCTTCACCTCTTCCCTATAGCATCATCATTGTCATTCCAGATAAGACCCACCACTGCCATGTCATCCGCATATTTCACAATTCATAGCAGATTTGACACAGCAGTCATGGGTCATCAGGGTGAACAGTAGTAGGCTCAAGACACAGGCCTGTGGGCAACCTGTACTCAAGGAGACGGAAACCTTTCTTCCCAACTCGCACAAACTGGGGCCTATCAATAAGGAAATCCAGCATCCAATTACATAAAACCTAATAGGCACAATTTGTTCACCAAATGCTGAGGAATGATTGTGCTGAACGCTGAACTAAAATCAGCATTTGCACAATAGTATTCTGCTCTACCAGAATACTATTTCCTGTGAAGTACACAGGAAAGTGCATCATGCATAGAGCAGGTCTTCTAATAGGCAAACTGTAATGAGTCAAATGTAGTGGGAAGGCATGAAACCATATACTATTTATTCAGTCAATGACTGACAAAATGTGAAAATATATGAAATAAAAGTACAATCAAATGGATGATATAAAATACTAGCATAACAAAGATTTTCTATTATAAAAATATAAAATACTTTTATGATGATATCAATTACACCTGTAAATATAAACTTAAAAATGTTACAATCTATTGGTAAAAATACAAATTACCTAAAACAAAATAACTAATGTGATAAATCTGATTTTTGATTGATTTTTTTCATACTATTTTCCATGAATAATATGAAATAATCAGGAAGCTATCATAAATCCTTATTTTACTTTTCAGTGATGATCCTTTTCTTTATTATCCCTCACTTCCATTGCATGCTGCTTTTAATCATTCAACCACCAACTTTCTATAATTCACATTTATTTCTTACCTCCATCCCATTCTTTGTGATTTGCAGAGGAAAACTTCGGTTTTCTTACTCCTTTCTCCCTACTCCTTACTCCTTTCCAAATATCATTCACTCCATTTATATACTGTTTTTTTCAAGCAGTTTATCAATTAATATCATAAATACATAAATATTAATAAAACATTCAAAATGGAACAATTAATGAGAATTTATATACAATCAGCCTAATAAGCCACCACTTGCGAACTCTTCATTTCCTGAAAGGTGATATATTTTCTGCTTGGTCAGATATAAGCAACAGTATTTTGGCTTGAAATGTGTTTTCTGGATTAAAGAGCTTAGGTTGCATAGAAAAATTTGAATATACTTGCCAAATTGTGCCCAAAACCACCATTGCTGTTACTATTACTATTACATTTACTATTGTAAATGAGTCGTGTAGGATAGTGAAGTTAAGGCTGAAAATCTGGCCTGCTCTTTCCCTTCCTTCCTTCCTTCCTTTCTTTCTTTCTTACTTACTTACTTACTTACTTACTTACTTACTTACTTACTTACTTACTTACTTAAAAATATTGTATGATAGTCATCCAGAATATCTAATCCCATTGATTTCTATTCCTTCTATTGATTCAGTAGAAAGACAGAGAGGGAGTTGTAAACTAGAAATAAACTAGAAATATTTTGTATTTTGTGATAAAACGTTAGTTTGTTTGATATGTTTGAAATGAACATGTAGTCCTCAATACATGGCCAAAATTGGGACTTAAACTTCTATCAGTATAAGTGAGTTTCTCCCTATTTCACAAACTTTTTTGCTAAAAACTCACACTGTTGTTGAGTGAATCTAGCTTACTCCATTGATTTTGCCTGTTGGAAACTAAATAGAAAAGTCGCAAATGGCAATCACATGATCCTAGGATACTGCAAATGTCATAAATACATCCTAATTGCTAAGTACCTAAGTTTTGTGATAGTGGGAATGCTAGAATCATATGGAAATCAGTTGTAAGTTATTTTTTTTCAGTGCCATTCTAACTTTGAACAATGAGTGGTTGTAAGTCAAGGAGAACCTGTAATAGATTAAAGAGTCAAAATGATTAATGGTAGGCTTCTAAGAAATCTGTAGTTTCTGAGCTCTGTGTACACACTTTGGCAGTATGGTACATACAATATTATGTACAGTAGGTGGTAAATCTGAAAAAATTATTTAATGGTCAAAACCTCATTATTAAAAATATAATAGTTTTACTGACTCATAAAAGGTAAAGGTTTCCCCGCACATGCATGCTAGTCGTTTGCGGCTCTAGGGGGCGATGCTCATCTCTGTTTCAAAGCCGAAGAGTCAGCGCTGTCCGAAGATGTCTCTGTGGTCATGTGGCTGGCATGACTAAATGCTGAAGGTACACGGAGCGCTGCTACCTTCCCACCAAATGTGGTTCCTATTTTTCTATTTGCATTTTGNTTTAATGCTTAGAGTTCTACTTTTCCTTGATACATCACAGGTGGGAGTGATTTAGGGCATTCTCTTATGAAAACTGGACAAATCTTTCTGTATTCTGATGAAACAGACAATCTGAATTAAAATCATACTCTTCCTCTCTCCAACCTGTTAAAAACTTTAGGAGTAAAGTTATTATATGAACCAACAGAATTGTGTTGCTGTTGTTAAGCTCCTGGCTGTACCTGAACATGTTTGTGTGTAAGAAAAAGATCATTTTTGTTTAGTAGTAGCTGAGAAAAATAAAAATATATACTTTATGCCTCTACTCCATGCTGAAGATATGGCTACCTCTGTCCATCTACGCCCAGCAGCTGAAGTGACATCATCACGATAAAGGATGAATTCTGGGAGTTGAAGTCCACAAATGTTAAAGCTGTCAAGTTTGAACACCCCTGGGGTTTTTTTTTCTAAAGGGTTAGGGGAGCAAGGATCTTGTAACTTGACAGCTTTAAGACTTACGTGCTTCAAATGCCAGAGTTTCTGAGCCAACATATTGGTTGCTAAGCAAGAGTGTTATTAAGTGATTTTCATCACATTTTACAAGTTGGCCATGCCCACCCAGTCTCATGACTGCCAAGCCACTCTCACTCGGTCACACTCCCACCCGATGACATGGCTGGCAAGCCGCTCCCACAAAGCAGGCCACACCTACAGAAGAGGTTCTAAAAAATTTTGAAACCCACCACTGCCTTGGATCCATGAAAGTAGTATTATTTGCCAACCCATATTGAAAACTAATACAATACTAAAATACTATCCAACAATTGGGAGAGGTGTAGCTGCAGCATATCTATCAATTTTAATTTAGTAGGATAAATATCAGTAACTCATACAAACAAAAGTTCTTTAGGAGTTCTCCACGATTTTTAAATGTGGAAAAAATTGTGCAAAGGAAAAAGTTTAAGAAACGTGTAAAATGAATTATGTTATGGAATAATAGATTATATAAGATAAATTTCTAGACACAACTTTTATCCAGGAGAGAACTGAAGAGGAAAAAAAATCTCCACCAGACAATTAAGGGTTCTTATTGTTACCTTCCCAGTCATGATGACACAGTCTTCCTGCACATTGCTTATAAGTGTGGGTTCTCCTTTCTGCCATTTGATGAATCTCACTGTAGTACCATCACTCCACTCAAAATATGAAGAAGTCTTCTGGTCATTTAGGCCTATCCACAAATTATCTGTTGGTTCTAAAAAGATAAATCCATTTTATTCATTTCTTCTCAAATTTAATGAATGAAGTCCATAGGTTGTATATAATCCTCCAGCCTATAGAACTCTCTGCTATGTCGGTTAGGATATGAGAGTTTATATGTGACATAATTGCCAAATGTCTGTCCTAATTTGCCATGAATGTATGCAGCAGTTGTTGCATCATTTAAACCACACAAGCTGAGTAGATTTTTTTACAAATATTTTAAGGCCTAAATAAATACTCTCTTTTTTTTTTTCTTGTGATGGCAGCGTCAGCAGCTATTTCTTTTTTTTTTCCTGGCATCCATGTACCAAGGAGTATACGAAACAGGAAATAAGCCTTCTAAATATACTCACCATAGCCAAGCTGAGAAAAAACAAAGCTGTATTCCTCAATGTCATGTATACTTATTAAATGTCCACCATCCTTTTGGCAGGAGACTGAAGCATCCTTCCACGTTTTGCGATCTCTGTTCAGACGGTAACAATGCTTTGCATATCCAACCCAGTTATTTGGACATTTAATTGGCTTAAGATCCTCTAAAAAAGACAGTAATTATATGTAAACTATCAAGAATTGGGAGTAGCAATAGGGGGGAAATCTTAAATCTTGTGTTACAATGTAATTAATTCAATAAATAAAATTTAGTTAATGCATATCTGACAAACCATCTTAAAGATAAAGGTAATTTGTCCATTGTCATGAGGACATTTTCTAGAAGTGTCATTAGGATTTACTATAATCAAATCTAATTTTTAGTCAAATTTTTCATGGAACAGGCAGGTACTAAAGTAGCATTTTCTAATGTCCTGCATCATTTTTTAAATATTCTAAAATTACCAATGCTTTTTTACAATGCATGTTAATTGGAATAAGAATTGTTTTTACCAGATCATTGCTTTCCTTCAAAGCTTTCATTTTATTTTATAGAAACAAGTAGACACTTTCTTGAAAATAATTTTGGAAACGAATATAAAGTAAAACTACCCCACCTTGTGGAGAAATATATATAAAATTAGTACAGGCAGTTCAGCCAAATTTCTGGTCATTAAGTCTTTATAGTCATAAGTTGATATCTAGGGTATGTGTGCCATGCATATCAGTGAAAGTATATTTATTCAGTTAACTTAATTTCAAGTTTAAATCAACCTGAAGAAGGTGAAGATGCCTGTATTGAAGAGTTCGTTCTTTTACAGATGTAGCCATGCTTCAGTTCACACCGATTATTTGCCCATTTACCATGTCTACCCTGCATCAATCCACAGTTTTTCCCTGTTTCAGAAGAGGGGCTACCTGTAACAGAGAGTGATTATCCTATCACTGTTTGATGTTGAAGGTGATAACATTTTTATCTTTAAACAAATCAAAACTGATTTTTTCCTTATCTGCAATAGCTTTTCAATAACATGGTATCCACATACAGTATATAGATCAGATCAAATGAGCCAGCCAGAACAAGTCTGTATATGAGGCAGAACAATTTTTCAAGTCAAGGCAAAGCTTCCATCTCAACTGTCAGAGTGACAGGAGTTAGGTGACACATCAGTGAGGAATGGCGCCACCTTGCACAAGCCTACACACTGTACAGAAGAGGATTATTACCACATTCAGTCTCTTTTCAGAGTTTTCTGTCAGGGTTAGGGCATCTTCCAGGGGCTCAAAAAATGGTAACAATACTGTAAGAATCTATGTTTATATACAACATACATAATTATAAATATGCCAGCACACTTCTAGAGAAAGTGTCAATTAAGTCAAATACATAATAAACATGTAAATATTTTATATGTGTATTAATCATTATAAGAAGACTGCAAAGTATTTTTTAAATGCTAACTAACTTATTTAAGAAAAACTATTTTGCAAAGGACGGTAAGAATTTCCAAATATTTTAATCTTAATATCTTTAAATGTTTACAGTTCTCTTTAGGACATAACAAAGACTTTATAACTGTACACATGTACCCACCTGGAGCCCAGTTTAAATATCTTAAAGGTTGATTACTAGTCCACTGCCATCCACTGTCAAAATCTGGATTATTCAAACCAATCCAGTAGTTGGCTTCAAAATTATTTGTTAATCCTATTTGAGGAAGAACATTCACATATTGATCAATTATGTAGATGCGAGTGAAGACAGAGAATCAGATAGACATACAGACACAGTACAATTCAATCTGAAGTACAATTATCATCTTTCTCTTGGTTATTTAATTTCTTATTAAATGTTATTTAATCTGCATGAAAACAACTAAGCTCAAAGTGCACTAAGGAGTCCTCAGTTGAACCATGAGCTACATATATTCTCTTCTATTTGTACAATGAATATTCCTGGGAACTGTGATCAAACTAATTTAAAAAAAACTTGCTAAGGAACTCTTGAAATTTTGGCACTCAGACACATCAGCCATCAATAGGCACATAGAAATAACATAATTATTACATTTACATATGATTCAAAAGAGACATTTAAAAGTTAAGAAGGAAACAAAAAGACCAAAATACATCTTCTTCATCCTTAATATCTAGAAAAGGAGAAATTAACACCAAACAATCAAGCAGAAAACAATACCGTAATCTAGGAACAATTAAGGAAAAACCAGAGCCCCATCAACATTGGCAGAGGAAGATACTGTTGTAAACAGGGAGCAACCACTGAGGCTATTAGATAGTCAGGTAGGCAAACAACCAATCTCAAAGAGCATCAAGGATTCCATAGTTCAACATGAGCTATTGTTACTTATACATTAATGACAAATCAATCATATTAACTTTCATTTTGGAGTCGAAATTTAGCTGATGAATTTCAGTTTGATAAAGGTAGAGGGGAAATGTAAAAAAAAAAAAGGATTGCTTGAAAGTGTCTAATATTTTTCATAAGATAAATTGCTCCAGAAGAAAAATGATGCTTTTTATATGCAGCATTTGAAATTGCTTACTACAGATGAGAAAATATTTATTATCAAGAATCTTTTAGAAGCTTTTTAAGAAATGTTTTGTTATACCTGTCAAATATGCTTGTTCATATAGTTCGTTGATGNGCGTTACCATTACTGTCTCATAGCAGTTGCCAAAAGCGAATTTGGAGGACAGGAGGTTGACTGAAAACTATGGAAAGGGATTGGGGGGGAAAATCAAAATAAAGCACCTTAGTCAAAATAAGCCCCACAAAGGGATAGGTGGAATCAAGATAATACAAGACCTATTGAAAAGTGAATGAGTCCAACTTAAAAATTAGTGACATAAATCAGTGGTACAATCAATGCTGCCAAGTTAGGAATTAACAAGATAAAGATTGACCCAGTCTAAGAGAAACCATTTATCTTTCGGAATGCTGTGAAGTACTCTCGAGACAAAATGGATTGTATTTTATTTGAATCCATTTGAATTTTTTCAGAAGGTACTTGATAGTCAAGTGCTCTAATCAGTGGTGGGATTCAAATAATTTAATAACTGGTTCTCTGCTCTAATGACCAACTGGGTAGGCAGGGCTCGGTGGTCATGTAATTGGGTGGGCATGGCCAACTCAATGTCACTCAAGTCGATGGGTGCTTTGCCTTAGCTGTTACAATGTAATTCTCCTTGTCTCCCATCTCCTGAATAGGTGCGAACTGGCTGAATCCCACCACTGGCTCTAATGCAGAAAACCAAAAGCAAATTTCTCAACCTCAGCAACTTTAAGATATGTGAATTGTCAGTCCCAGAATTCCCCAGATGGCATTGAAGAATTCCCCAGGTTTGATTATATGAAGAATCAAAATAAATTAGAATTGCTTTTAAATAAGTTATCAAGAAGTGCTCTACTCCAGAAGTTACAAAACTGTGATTCATAAATATTTTAGATATAAACATATTGCAAGCAGAACAGTATTGCTTTATGATAAAATTTTGTATGGCAAGAATCAGAAACAGTTAAATATAAGTATCCCTCTTTCAAGAGAATCAACTTGTAAGTACTTTCCCACTAGGTCTAGCTTAGTGAAGACAAACCCCTCAGCAATCATTCTCAGAATTCAGAAATGAATAGGACAGGAAGTGATTGTAAAGGATGTGGACTGTAGAAAGTGATCATCATGGATTTTACTGTAGATAGGGAACTATTTTTTTGACAAAAATAAATTGCTGATGCGGGAGGAGGAAGAACAGAACATTCTTCCGTAAGTTTTCATTCATATTTTTGACATTGCATAATAACGCTTCACAATCATTGGGATTCTGACAATAAGACTGATCATGCAAGTAGAAGATCATTGTGAGACAGAATCTGCACTTCCTCCTTTCAAATTCATCTGTATAATCTAAGGTGTCCATGTTATTGATAACATAGATACAGGTAGTCATCCCCATCCTACTATCAATCATTTAGTGACAGTTAGAAGTTTACAACAAAAAATGAAAAAGTGACTTACACTTACAACCATTGCAGCATCCCATGGTAATGTGGTTGACATTTGGCAACTGGCATGTATTTATAATGGCTGAATTGCCAGGGGTCATTTGATCACAATTTTTAACTTTCCCAACCAGCTTCTGATAAGCAAAGTCAATGGGGAAATCAGATTTGCTTAATAGTCAAATTATTCATTTAACAACTGCAATGATACACTTAACTGTGTCAAATGGGGCAAACCATACATAACTGTCTTGCTTAGCAACTGTAAATTTGGACTCAACTGTAGTTATGTGAACTGCCTATATAGGTCTTCTGTGCAATAGTACAAATTTTATTGAGAAGTCCAGCTGAATAAGTTCAACTTCTGAATTCTCATATGTGCAGGGAGAAGAGGTGGAAGGAGGTTCAAAGCAAGTACTAGAATATTCTCTTCCCATCTGTACTTGAATACCTTGAACACATCATTAATGCTCAAACCTGGATTCTGAGAATGCTGATAAGCCCAGAGACTGCTTTGTAAAGTNACAACTTTTTCTTGCTTGATCCCATGTTAGAGCTGACTGGGAATTGATCTGGTAGAGATCTCCTGTCCAGTGATTTTTGATCCAGAAAAAGTCATCTTTTTCATCTGTAAGCATTATGCAAAATAGAATCAGCTCATTAGTTGCAGAGCCCTGGGAGAATTTAAATGTTTTTTTAAAAAAATTATATTTTCAATGCATAGTTTTAAGAACTGCCAAATACTGAACGTAGATTCTGGCAGATTTTGAATGGTGCTTTGTGCTTCACCAAGCCACACAGTAAAGTAAATCATCTCCCCGCTTATTGCCATATAGCTTCTCTGGATAACAGAGATAATGTATCTGTTCCTGTGTATCACAAAGAAATCCAAGCATCCTTTAAATTTTCTTCTTCAGGACATCCTTGCACAACATTGAACCAACTATCTCATTTTTCTACTACTGCAACATGCTTGTATGGGACTTTAATTGAAAATAGATGTAATTGTAGGAAATTGAGGGTGACTCAGATGCTAAGGTGCTGAGCTTGTCAATAAGAAAGGTCAGCAGTTCAGTGGTTTGAATTCCTAGCGCTGAATAACGTGAGCTCCCATTACTTCTGCCCAGCTTCTGCCAACCTAGCAGTTTGAAAGCATGTAAAAATGCAAGTAGAAAAATAGGGACAACCTTTGGTGGGAAGGTAACAGCGCTCCATGCGCCTTTGGCATTTAGTCAGGCCAGTCACATGTAGACATCTTCAGCTCTTCGGCTTACAAACAAAGATGAGCACTGCCCCCTAGAGTTGGGAATGACTAGCGCATATGTGCAAGGGGACCCTTTACCTTTACCTTTAATTGTAGATAGTAATCTAGTAGTCTTTCCATGAGCTCCCTGTTGAAATGGAAAGCAATTGGTTTTTTTCCATTTAGTTAATTTTTGGCTGACCTTGCTTTTCAGCAGCAGACAATTGTCACAAGGTTCAGTCTTTCTAGGTTTGACATTTAGTGCTGTCCTATCCAATTTTTGTTTATTGCGAAACAAGCCTGGGTGGTGGAACTTACTGCAATTTACATACTGGGATTGAAAAACAACTCAAAATGTTGCAGTGAAATGAAATAAAGTTGTATTTAGTCATACAAGAGTATAACATCTGACCCAGGTTCAGATATTCCTCCAACCAATTATTCTGTCTTTTTAGCAGAGTTTGAAAACAGGAGGAAAAAATGTAATTATCATACCTCCAATTATAATGAGAATATTAATAAAAGAGAAGTAAGGAAGGACCAGTTTCAATTTTTAAGAAACTACTGATTAGGAACTTGCTGAGTGAAAGTTTGTAAGATTGACCAATGTAGCACTGATTTTAGAAGTGCTAGCTTCCTTTCCCATTCTCTGAGTCAGCAAATCAGAATAAACAAACCAGCTAGTGGAGAGCTGTTAAAGCAATAAGAGAAGATTCATTTGTAAAGGGTGTCATGCTAGTTTCTCCAACGAAGTAGACGATGAAAAAAAAGTACAATACAACTCTGAGAAGTTTGATTCTGATCACTGAAAACAAAACACACACACACATACACACACGTGTGTGTGTGTGTGTGTGTGTTTTATATAACTGGTTATAACACATAACACATCTGTAGCTGCTTTAAAATAATATATTAGTGAACATGAAACTATTGTAGAATACTTGTTTTTAAACATAAATATGTATGTTCCCATGCATGGAAGCCAGTTTGGTCTAGTGGTTACAGCATCAGTCTAGAAAGGGGATATTGTGTGTTCAAATCCCACATTTGCCATGAAAACCAGTTGGATGACTTTGTGCCAGTCACTCTCTCTCAGTCCAACCCACCTCACTTTTGTAGAAAAAATAAGAGCAGGAAGGTATGCTGATACGTCTTCTGTCCTGAATTGATTATAAAAATAATAAAAGTGGACTACCAAATAAATAAATAAATAAATAAATAAATAAATGTATCATCAAATAAGAGTTTACCTTTTACTGGACAATATCCAGTTAAAGAGTCTTTGTCCACATCTGGAGTTGTTCCACACCAAAACCGTTTGTGTTCATCATCATCAACTATGCATTCAACATGCCATTTATTCATATACTTAAAAGGAANCTGCAGTGCTGCATTTAACCACTGCGCCACCTTGGCTCCATTAATCCATTAAACTCTCTTTAACATTTACATTGAGCAACATTTACAGCTTGAAAACAGTACAATTTCATATGGTCCCTCTTTAGATATACAAAGCACTAAAATATCTTCTGAGTTATTCTAAGCATCAATGAATAGTTTCAAATACACTTTTGATACAAATGGAGAAGGAAAATTTCAGATTTATTGAAACAGTCAATTATTTCATCATATGAATTTTAAAATTATATAAAATGAATGTATAATGTGTGGAAATAATTACAGGATTAAAATCACATGCCATAATGATAGAGTTAAGTTTCACTTCTCCTTTCTTTTTGAGAGTTTCTTTTTCTCTGCATAGTCCTAATGTAGCAGACATGGGAAGTAGCAGATCATATATCCCAAAATTCTGAACAGATGATTGGAAAGTAAGATGAGACCCTTAAGATCAAGGCTATGGACATTTGTTGCTTATCTATCTACTTATCATATCTACTCTTGTTTCCAAAGATTTGTTCAAGATCAGGGATATAACTCATATGCTTCCCCATTTTTTCTCTGGCAAGGTTTAGGTGGAAATACCATGGAATAAATGTAAAGAAGCAGTCAACAATGCAACATATCTAAGATGGCATCTGCATAAACCCCAAAATGAAAAATACTTTTTAATGGCCTAAATCTCTCAGCTATTTGATTCAAGGATATCTGAAAGATTTGAGGCCATTTTAAAAATGATTAAAATTACAATCCATGAAATATGCCAAGTCATGTAGTGACACCGAAAATGACTGCTTCCCCAAAGTTTAGCAAGTTAAAACAAACTCAAATAAAGGTGACAAGTCATACCAAGATATGTGTAAGAATTGAAAATTCTAGTCTGGAAAAAAGATGGTGGAAAGGAAATTGTGTTTGAATACTGTACATGAAAGTATATCAAAGAGAAAATGTTACATAATTAATTTTATTGTAGTAACTGACCAGCATACAGAGAAGATAGTCACAAACTATTTTGCACTGCCCCAAAACTAGAACCAGAAATAATGTTCATGGAAATTAAAACTTTGTGATGTTCCAATGGAAAGTTAAAGGTTGTTGTTGGTTTTCCATCTCTGGAGGTTTTTAAGAAGATATTTTAACCTCTTCAGATTGGTCTAATTGATTTTCCTGTGTAGGACAAAGGGTAAGATTAGATGATCCTCTGGTTCCTTGGGATCCTTACCAATTCTACCAGTTGACTATATGAATCTAATCTGAAATTCTTCCTGTAATACTAATATAAGGCCAATACTTTGGTATGCAATTTGCAGGCTTCTTGTTGAATAACAATTTGAGCATATGATGTTACAGAAATATATATTAGATACATTTGCATTTGCAAATTTGCTACTGATTTAAGAAGCACAGCACATACAATAAAGCAATTAAATATTTCAGTAGAATCTTAGATCTGCTTTCCCAATAGGGAATATATCAAAATTTGCTATGTACTCATTTATTGAATTTAAATCTTGCTATCCAATAATCAAATAATGTAATCCTGTGAATAATTTAGACAAAGGCAAATTTAGTGATGCGAATAGAAGGAACCAACTACAATACTTCTCCAGACAAGACACTTTTTCATATCTCTTATTTATTAGGCCCTTCAAGTTCACGTAAATTATTCCATTATTTTTGTTTCACGAATTCAGCATTAGAATATAGCTTACTGACTCAGTAATGTAGTTCTGTTGTTCTTTCCTCTCCCCCTCCACTCTCCCCCCGGTACCAGAAATACCATCAAATTTAGCGGTTGCAATATTTTCCTCCAACTGCAGTATGAATTTGAGAATAGATCTTCACTTAAATGTTGCATGTTGCCTCTTGTTATCCAACAATTTAGCTCTTGGTAGTATTGTTACTTTGAATGCAAAGCAGCTGCATTACTTAGTGTCTGTATAATATGTAGCAAAAATGCTGAAACAGATATGATCATTGTAGTTATTTTGTCAATTTCACAATTAGAATGTGATAGTGTGCTTTCAGAACTCAGTGTTTATTAAACAAGAGACAGTTTAGATTGTTGCCAGACTAATTGGTTGCCTGTTCATTCTTCTCCATGTTCATGACCAGATCTATTCCATCGCTAGTTGTTGGAGAAGCTCCACCAGTAAAATAAAAAGAATTCTCAAAATTGCTCTCTATCAAGCCATGCTGATTCCTTTTCTTATAAAAATAGAAACTTGTGAGAGCAGCTCCGGAAACAATGAGGATCACTAGCACCACCACAATGATAGTTTTGTTGTGGGTTGGTGAAGGAATGACATCTGTCTTTCTTGATTCTGTAAATAAATGCAGGATAATCACAACACAACATTTAGGAAAATTCCTCTTAACATAGTTGGATCTAGTCCTTCAAAGACCGCTGAGTACCATTCCTCCCATTTATTTTTTTCAATAACATTGTGGGATAGCTAAACAAGAATCCAGTGAGCTTGGAAGTCATGTGGCATTTGAATGCATTTCTTTGGTTGTTTGTCCAATACTGTAACATCAATACTAAAACATCACCATATTAGACCAATATGAAGCTGACCCCAGATCTATCTGACCCCCACTTTGGTCCAAGTTTCTTCCTTGACTCAGCTTTACCTAAAACAGGAAAAAGCTCCCCCCTGCCTTTAAAGTGAATCTAATTTCATTTCATTTATTGAATTTCTATGCCGCCCAATCCTGAAGGATTCATTGGTGAGAACTTCAGTTAGATCCTGTTTCCCAGCTTCTGTGCTTAAGTGACATTTAATTATTTCTTTCCTCCTCTCCCAAAAGGATAAATGTTTTGTTCCTGGACACTGAAATTATTTATTTCTGTTTCTTTCCCTCCAATTATCTGCAACTTCTGCACTGAATGTCATGGGGTTTATCCTCGAGGAGAACTTGCATTATAAATAAGGATTAGGAAAATTCATTATGGATGGTATTGCAAGTTGTTCTCTGATTTGTTATTTCCCCTGCCCAAAGAATTTAAATCAGAATTAAGAATTGCTGGATGATGTTCTGACTCCAGAAGACAACAGTATGAACAATATTCTAACTGGTGCACTCTGATTGCATTAGATCAAAACTCATGTGAATTGGGAATGATACATATTTTGTTTTAATACTTCTAAATACATCAGTTTGAAGGAAACTGATTCATTTCTCTGGCACTGTATTTTCAGAAAGGCAACGAAAACAGTCCCACATCTTAATATTCAAATTGAATCAGCTAATTGAGAAATTGATTTGAAAATATAATAATATAAAATTAATTATTTTAAGATAAATGAGAGACGGGAAAGAGAGAGAAAGACAGGCAGGCAGGCAGGCAGGCAGGCAGGCAGGAAGGAAGGCAGGTAGTAGGTGACAGAAAGATATGTTTCACATCTGAGTTTTAAAATTATTTACTGTATATAAATTCTTACCTTTGTTTTCTAATAACTTCTTAGTAGGTACTGTTTCAACAACTTAAAAGAAGAGAAATATTATGAATTATATTATGTTTAGAGTCCTTTATATTTCAGTGCTTATAGGCAGAACAAATTCAGTTTCTTCATAAACTATCATTGGAATTATCAATTATCACAAACTGAATTTTGTATAAATACAAGGTAATACAATAGTCAAAAGGATAGATGCAGTTTCAGGTTTTACCAATAGAAATATAGTTCATAGGAAGCAAAATTCCCACTACATTCTGCACCAGTCTGGCTCGTCTGTTAATACTGGGAGATGCTGCTAATGTGTAGCTTTGAGGAAAAGAAATAAGAAATCTGACCTTAATCACATCCAGGTGCTAGGCAAAAAAAACAAAAACCAGTGGCATTAAAGAGCAGGAAAGCAGATTCTGGTGGAATATTAGAAAAGACGTCCTAATCAGTGGTCACTCAAAAATTTTTACTAACGGTTCTGTGGGCATGGCTTGGTGGGCTTGGCAGAGGAAGGATACTGAAAAATCTATGTCCCCTCCTGATCAGCTGGGACTCGGGAGGCAAAGAATAGATGTGGGCAGGGGCTAGTTAGAGGTGGTATTTACCGGTTCTCTGAACTACTCAAAATTTCCGCTACCAGTTCTCCAGAACTGGTCAGAACCTGATGAATACCACCTCTGATCCTAATAGCAAAACAGTTCAGTATAAGGTCCAATTACCAAGGGAGTTCCCCTTCACTTCTTATATTCAAGCAAAGGCTGAACAGCCACCAGTTTGGATGCTATAATCTGGATTCATACCGCAATAAAAACATTAAAGTGTAAGGTGAAAAATCATGGACTCCCCATAAATCTTCTTGCTTGAAACCTCTGAGGAGACTTATGATTCATCCCTTAACAAAATTTCAGAGGTGCTGATTTTTCTTTCTCTCTTTCTCTTCCCATGGATATCTATTATTGCCAGTACAGGTCACATAAAATGCAGTTTGGAGGTTGGGTTAGGTGAATTAACTGGATTTTTTTTCTAGACTGATTTCATTCAAGTTCAAGATAAATATCATCATATAGTTGCTGATGTATACTTATATCCTATTTGCTCCATGGGTGGTATTCAGCAGGTTCTGCCAGTTCTAGAGAACCAGTAGTGGAAATTTTGATTAGTTTGTAAAATCAGTAAATACCATCTCTGACTGGCCCTGCTCCCCATCTATTCTCTGCCTCCTGAGTCCCAGCTGATTGGAGAAAATTGAGATTTTGCAGTAACCTTCCCCTGCCACACCCACCAAGCCATGCCCACTAAGCCACCCCACCACAGAACCGGTACTAAAAATAAATAAATGAATCCCACCACTGATTTGCTCCCTTTCTCCTTCTCATTTTCAATTATGTTGTGAACAAAAAGGCCAAATGGAGAAAAGCTAGCAAAATAAAATGATTAAATAGAATAATAAAAATATACAACACATTACTTACTTTTTGGTTTTTTACAAATATATCCCTGATATGAATTGCAATAAACATTATTCCAAACCCCATTTGAAGCAAACATTTGTACACAGTGTTCATCATTCTGACTTGAACGTTCTTCGGTGTTCCAGTTGACAAAGTTCACAGCAGCATTGTCAAGCCATAACCAATCACCTAATGTTGAGTTAGAAAATACACTGAGATAATCAGCTCTAGCAATGTATTCCCTCTTTCCTTCTTTTTTTTTCTTTCTTTCTTTCTTTCTTTCTTTCTTTCTTTCTTTCTTTCTTTCTTTCTTTCTTTCTTTACTTACTTACTTACTTACTTACTTATACTTAGCCTATTTTATGATTAAGTGCCTGATTCAATTAAAATACCTCTAGATTTAAACAAAAGTAAAGAAATTCAGTCATGTACATTATCTATAGCTATATGCTGCAGTTATTAGAAATTTAAATTTGTTTTAATTTGCTTGTAAAAATAAAGCAGGAAGACTCTTTCCTGACCACATAGAATATAGCATTTTGAAATATTATTTTCTTTTGCCAATTTAATAAAATGAGGATGGGTTTTTTTTTGTTCATTCGGGCTTAAATAATTAGGCAGAACAAAGTCATGTGCCAATTTTTTAAACCATGTTATTTAAATTTGTCAAACTGTTGAATTTATAAATGTACAGAGCCATGAATCATAAATTACAAAGCATAAAGTTAGATTGATACATTACTCTAAGGCAAAAATATTTTTTTCAGACAAAGTCCTTATTTTGTGTATTGTATAATATGCCAAGGGTACATGCAAAAACATTAGTAGGCCAGGTCCAAAAAAAGGGAGGATGAACTATGGGTATCCATAGAGGTATCAATGGACAGCACACAGTGAAATATCACTTTGCAAACTCTGCCTCTTTCATACTTAGCATATCACATACAATGGTGGACCTTCAGTTATGATGACATAATATCTTTTTTCTCATTTGTATGAGCTTATCACAAAACAAGTGGCTATAACACAAATAAATTTGATGTCATGTTATGTTTTATTTATTTAGAAAATTTATATGGGTGCCCACGCACTCAATGACTCTAGACAGCTTACAAAAATAAAAACCCAATATAGAAACAATAAAAATGATAACCCCCCCCCCTTGCCACTTTAAATGTTTAATTGTTAATTTATGTATAATTAAAGTTATATTACCGTAATTACTTTTGGGGGAAACTCTCAGGGTACTCTAAAAGCTTTTAGGGAGCAGATAGAATGTGTTCCTTCAAGCCAAAACCAAGTCCTTTTACTTTAACCTAATGGGTAAATGTACTCATTTTGCATTTAGTATTTGATGCATTTTTTTTTCAGAGCAGGACATGTAACAAAATGCCCTGTGATGTATTGAAAGTGAGCTGTAGACTCAAATTCCCAGCAGAATCAATGAAACACTTAAGCATACGTGCATACCCCACCTACAAATTCCTACTGACTGATACTATAAAAAAACCCACCTCTGCATTGAATACTCTGGCACTGACTCATCTGCCAGTTAGCTAAATAAATTAATAATGTATTTTATTTTGAGAAGCATTAGACTATGACTGTGTGAAATATCTCAAGTATGCTTTCTTATTTTTTCTTAACTTTTTGAGTTATATTTTGAGTTATAATTAGAAGTCATTACAATGTCTACATTTTTCTCTGTTTTCTTCTTAATATTACAAGGAAAAATTGTAAGGAGCAATCAAACTTCTTTGATATTTGCCAGAAAATTCAACTGTGATTATAATAAAACATTCACAATGCAAACCGCACTGAGCTTAAAACTTAAATTAAAATATACCATTTAAGTTTTTGAACATTCCTATCCAAAATGCTTGGGATTTGCTTTCAAGATTTTCTGTAAATTCTGTTAGAAAGTTTGCTTCAGCTGAATCCATTACTGAAACCAGAGAGGCATCTGTAAAAAAAAAAAAAAAAAAACCATCAAACACGCTCAGAGAAAATACTACTTGAATAATTTTTTGACCCATAACAAGTTGAGTAGCTAATTAAAAGAAATATTTTGTTTAACATCAAAACATGGTTTTTCTTTTATTCCCCACTTTTTTATGTATGGATGTCCTGATCAAGCCAATCACTTAAATTTTCAAATAAAGAACACACATGTCAAGCCGGCCTCTCTCAGCAACCAAGAAAGAAACCACTTAATTCCATTTTGCAGAATTAAGAGTACTTTTACTGGTTATGAAAAGATAAAAATGATAATACATCTATAACCACTATGTTATTTTCTCTCAGACATTGCGCAAAATGCAGAAAAAGAGTAAGCAGTGGTAAACAAAAGAAATTAAAGCAGGAATTAAGAGGGAAATTAACTCTAGTTTATAGCAACACAGTGCTATATTTTATATTCTTATATATTTATATTTCTACAAACTATCCTTACTTTCTCTGATTCTGCACAGCAATTTATAAATTGCTTTTTTAAAATTGTTCTCTTTCTAAGCATCTTATCAATTTTTTCCATTGACAAATTTCTTGGGCTTCCTCTTCTTCCCCATTTATTCATTTACCTCATATTAAAAACTATAAGTTTTGAGATTACAATCTTATTCATTCCCTCTCAACCCTGCTCATTGTTCTTCTTTCATATTTCTATTGTATTGGTCACTTAATTTTGTATTCAATCCCCACTCCTTCAGTACCCACTCTAACTGCATGCAATTTATCTTTATGTTTCTACAATAGAAATTGTTTTGCGCATGCGCAGAACTGAAAAATAAGATGGTGGCAGCAACCAGGGAACTGGTTCAGGGGCGTGGCAGGCCTGGGTCACTGCCGGTTCCAGCAACCCAGGCTGCCAAACCACTACCGGTTTGGCCAAACCGATCTGAACCAGTAGGAACCCACCACCAAACAGTGTGCTGCAGGTATAAAAAAGGCAAAGTAGTCCTAGATTGCATCAATAGAGGGACAGTTTCAAGATCATATGAAAAGATAATAGTACTTTATACTGCACTGGTGGGACCACATTTGGAATATTGCATCCAGTTGTGGTTACCGCAATTTAAAAACAATGTTGAGATCCTAAAAATAATGTAGAAAAGAACAACAAAGATGATAAGGGGTCTAGAGACTAAACCATAAAATGAAAAATTTAGAGAACTAGGTATCTTCATCTATTGAAAAGAAGGATTAGAGATGATATGATAGCTGTAGTTTAGTCTGTCCTTTAAGTAAACTTAGTTTCACTGCAACTATGCAGTTTCGTAGTTCTTCCAGTACTTGAGGATCTATCACAGAGAAATCAGGAATGACCTATTCTCTAAAATACCTGAAAGTAGGACAAGAAGTAATTGGTGGAAGATTAGAGATCCAACCTAGAACTAACTAGAAATTTCTCAGCAGTAAAAACAATTAATCAATTGAATGACTTCTCTCTGAAAGTTGTGGATGCTCCATCACTGGAGGGTTTTAAGAAGAGCCTGGACATTTGTCCAGAACTTATAAGGTCTCCTTCTCAAGTAGGGACTAGAAGGCCTCTAAGATCCCTTTCCATCCTATTATTCTATGTTCTAAGGTATCCACATCCTTTCTATTAAAATATTTGCAAATCTTAGTATTTCTTCAATAATTGTTTCTTCTGCTTTAAAATAAAGTCAGGTATTATAATTAGTGAATGGGAACACTTACCTAGTTGCAAACAAGCTAATGATGCCTTTGGCCAATTCATCTTTGATGAGGCTTCAAAATGATAGCAATGACCACGGAATGGAATCCAAGATTTCTCCACTGCAATTGGGCAGATTCCTGGTTCTTGAGGTGGTAAAGTAGGTGGAAACACTGTTTTTAAAAAGCAATACAATTTTTAATTTTTATTAATTTATTGAGAGATTATTATGAGAAACTATGTCAAAACTACAGTGTTTTTAGTAAGCATCCTTGTTCTTTTTTACATTTTTTAATGCTACTGTTAATTATTTTTTAATTTTGCACCAACACAAGAAAATAGAGATAGAGCTTTAATTAGGTCATTGTGGTCACTATCTTCACACGTCTACAAATATACACTCACTGATCTATGCCCTGCAGGGTGTACAACTATTCCTAATACGCTATTTTATGGCACACAATCATTGACTCCAAATATAGATCACAAAACTGAAAGAATGCAGCATGTGAAAAATAATTGTGTTCCATTGTAGTCTTTTAAAGTCAACCTACTTAAAGGGCAGACTAAATTTGCCAGTCTCTTTCCTCCTTAAACTGTTATAATTCAGAAACTGGCTTAACTAGCATAAAAAGGCAGAAGTCTTCTCATCCAGTTAAGGTTTAAGGGACAGGTCATCTCCTAAATATCATCTACACAGGTTGCATTTATTGATCTATTTTACATATTAGAATTTTATCCTTCCTTTATTACTTTTTAGGCAGCTCTAAGTGACAAACATATCTAATACTACTTATGCCTCGTATTTTCCCCACAACAACAACACTGTAAGGTGAATCGGGCTGAGAGAGAGTGACTGGTGCAAAGTCACACATCTGGCTTTTGAGCCTAGAACTCCCAGTCTCCTGGTTTCTAGATGCTGCATTTCAACTATCACATCAAATAGTCTCTTCAGTCTGTGATGTCTTTTAAGTTTTTGCAAGCATGAATACCCCTACATCAGAGAAGTAAAATTTGGAATTCCACCCCCTTTCCCCACATTGCAGAATTACAATTCTTAGCAAGCATCAATATTATTCATGCTGACAAAGACTGCTCGGCATGTAGTTCAGGAATATTTTACTATGTCCAGTCTATAATAGTCTTTAAAAATGACCTGTGTGCAAAACGCCACAGCTTAAATGGAAGTATATCCCCTGTAAAACGTAATCTAGATGTCTATGCCACTGTTTCTAAATTATTCTGAGTCAAGATTGACTCAGCTTTCCATCCTTCAGTGGTTGATAAATGAAGACACAGATTATTGGGGGCAATATGCTGACCTTGTAAACCACTTAGAGAGGACTGTAAAGCACTGTGAACTAATATATAAGTCTAAGCACTATTGCTATTCCAATTTGTGGTACTCCAACATACCTACAAGATGCTAAGGTTAGGGAAAAGTGCTTTAGTCTGAATATGAAACCATTAAGAAAAATGTTGACCTATCCTTTAACTTACCTTTGGGATATTTGCAAAGAGGAAAATACTTTATGTTGCATGAGTCGGTCTTCCAGGTCCCATCCAAGTCCATGAAAACGCAGCCTAATTTTTGTTTTGGTTCATTTGCTGCCCAATTAGTATACTTCAGCCTGAATTTATCAATCCATATGTATTGCCCACTAGTCTAAAAAACCAATCAACAAAAAACACACATTGAATGACATGTTTCTTATGAGATACACTAATCTGAGCATGTTGGGCTGTTCTAGGATTACAATACAATACAATAGCCGAGTTGGAAGGGACTTTGGAGGTTTTCTTTCTAGTCCAAACCCTATATCATTTCAGACAAATGGTTATACAACATCTTCTTAAAGACTTCCAGTATTGGGGCATACACAACTTCTGGAGGCAAGCTGTTCCACTGATTAATTGTTCTAACTGTCAGGAAATTTCTCTTCGGTTCTAAGTCGCTTCTCTCCTTGATTAGTTTCCACCCATTACTTCTTGTTCTACCCTCAGGTGTCTTGGAGAATAGTTTAACTCCCTCTTCTTTGTGTCAACCCCTGAGATATTGGAACACCACTATCATGTCACCCCCTAGTCCTTCTTTTCTTCAAACTAGACATACCCAGTTCCTGCAACTGTTCCTCATATATTTTAGTCTCCAGACCCCTAATCATCTTTGTTGCTCTTCTCTGAACTCTTGCTAGAGT